AAAATATTGAATGATGCAGAAAGCACCAAAAGAATATGGAAGAAATACAGAGTCACTGAATTAAAAGAATTAGTCAATGCTCAACTATTTCAAGAAGCAGCATATGATCAACCACCAGTGGTATTGAAGGAAGAAGTCCATCCAAGTTGCACTGAAAGCATTGATGAAAAACAAGGCTTTAGGAATTGACAAAATACAAATTGAAATATTTCAACAAATTGATGCAGCGATGGAGGTGCTCACTCATTCCTGCCAAGAAACTTGGAAGGCAGCTATGTGGCCATCTGGTTAGAAGAGATCCATTCCAAAGAAAGACAATATCAGACAATATCATTACTATCACATGTAAATAAAATTTTGCTTGCGATAATTTTAAAAATGATTGCAACAGTACATTAATGGGAACTATCAGAAATTCTAGCTGGATTAAGAAGAGGATGTGGAAGTAAGGATATCATTGCTATCATCAGATGAATCTTGGTTGAAAGCAGAAAATATCAGAAATATGTTTACTCGTGCATTATTGACTATGAAAATACTTTTTGACTGCATGGATCATGACAAACTATGGATTGTTTGACAATCATGACAAACATCGTAAAAATGGGTATTTCAAAATACTTAATTGTGCCATGAGGAGTCTGTAACAGGCAGTCATGTGACAAGAACATGGTGATACTGAATGGTTTAAAATCAGGAAAGGTGTCCACCAGAGTTGTATATTTTCACTATAATTATACAATTTGTATGCTGAATAAATAGTGTGAGAAGGTGGGTTATATGAAGGAGAACGTTGCATAAGGAATACTAACAACATGTGATATGCAGATGATATACCCTTGCTTGCTGGAAGCAAAAAGGACTTAAAAATACTTACTGATGAAGATCAAAGATCAGTCATCATTATGGACAGCACCTCAATGTAAAGACAATAAGAATCCTCACAACTGGAATCAATAAATAACATAACAAATCGAGAAAAGATTGAAATTGTCAACAACTTCATGTGCTTGAATCCAAAATCAACGCTCATGGAAGTAGCAGTCAAGAAATCAAATGATATATTCCTTTAGGAAACTCTTCTGCAAAAGACCCCTTTAAAGTGTTTAAAAACAAAGATATCAGCTTGAGGACTAAGGTGCACATGACCCAAGCCAGCGCATTTTCAATCACCTCATTTGCATGTGAAAGTTGGACAAGAATAAGGAAGACAAGAATTGATGCATTTGAATTATGGTGTTGGAGAAGAATATTAGAAGTACTATGGACTGCCAGAAGAAGAAACCAGTCTGTGTTGGAAAAAGTACTGTCAAAGTGCTCCTTGCGAGACTTTATTTCTCAAACTTTGGACAAATTATTTGGAGGGACTAGTCCCTGGAGAAGGACTTCATGATGCGTAAAATGCAAGGTCCATAAAAAAAGATGATGACACTGAAAACTATCCAATCTGTCTGGGCGGGGCTGATGAAAGGTGATGGGGATAGGACTCTTGTGGTACAATAGTGAATAACTGCTACCAGGAAATCTTTCAACAAACTTGTGAAGCACTGGAGGCATGCACGCATCTTATGCCAAGAAATTTGGAAGACAGCTATCTGACCAACCAATTGGAAGAGATCCATATTTGTGCTCATTCCACACACAGGTGACTCAACAGAACATGGAAATCATCAAACAATATCATTAATCCCACATGCAAGTAAAATTTTGCTAAAAGTAATTTAAAAATGATTGTGACAGTATATTGACAGAGGACTGTCAGAAATTTAAGCTAGATTCAGAAGAGAATGAGGAATGAGGTTTATTATTACTGACTTCAGATTGACCTTGGCTGTAAGCAAGATGTTGACTTGTGTTTTCTTGACTATGCAAAGGTTTTTGATTGTGTGGATCAGAAATTATAGACAACATTGTGAAGAATGGGTATTCCAGAACATTTCATTGTGCTCATGTGGAACCTATATACAGACCCAAAGGCAGTTGTTAAAACAGAATAAGGTGATGCTGAATGGTTTAAAATCAGGAAAGGAGCGTGCCAGGGTTGTATCATTTTACCACATTTATTCAAGTGGTATGCTTAGCAAATCATCCAAGAAGCTGGATTATTGAAGAAGAACATGGCATCGAGATAGGAGGAAGACTCATTAACAACCTGCAACATAAAGATGATACAATCTTGCTTGCTGAAAGCAAAGAGGACTTAAAATACTGAGGATCAAAGATCACAGCCTTCAGTAGGGATTGCATCTCAGTGTAAGGAAAACAAAAACCCTCACCATTGGACCAATAATCAACATCATGATTAATGGAGAAAAGATAAAAGTTGGCAAAACTCTCGTTTGCTTGAATCCACTACCAAAACTCATGGAAACAGCAGTCAAGAAATCAAATGACATATTGAATTAGGCAAATCTGGTGCAAAAGACCTCTTTAAAGTGCTAAAGAGCAAAGATATTAATTTGAGGATTAAGGTGCCCTGGTGTTTTAAATAGTCTAATATGCATGTGAAAGTTGACAGTGAATAAGGAAGACCAATGAAGTATTGATGCATTTGAGTTGTAGGCTTGGAGAAGTACAAGCAAACCTATGTTGGAAGAATTATAGCCAGAATGCTCCTTAGAAGCCAGGATAATGAGACTTCATCTCTCATACTTTGGACATGTTATCAGGTAGGTCCAATCTCTGGAGAAGAACATCATGCGTGATAAAGTAGAGGGTCTACAAAAGAGGTGAAGACCCCCAATGAGATGGATTGGCCCAGTGGCAGTAGCAATGGATCACACAGTACCGGGCAGTGCTTTGTTCTGTTGTGCATAAGGTAGCTATGAGTTGGAGCTGACCAAGTGGCACCTGGAAATAAATTGCAGTGAGCTCAAGTGTTTTGAGTGTGTACTTAAAATCCTATGTATGTGTGTGGCAGTTCATCTCTCCAGTATCTGCTAGCCTGTTACCATGATTAATGCCACATGGTAACACTTGAGCTCACCACAGAAGCAAAAGGAAGAGAATCCATGTATAAGTGGTTCCATGCAGCTCAAACCTTTGTTGTTCAAGGTCAATTGTAAGTTATATGTGGAGTTTGTATTGGGCTGGAGGTCAGTGCCCCTATCTTCCTCATTGTTCAAGGGTCACCTGTATTTAGTGAGTGCATCTTTGGAAAGGAAATATATATTTTTCTTCAAGCAACCACGGAGTTCAGATCTATTTTGAAAAGAATATTTTGCCTAATTAGCAAGGTTCTGGCTCTTGTTGTTAAGTGCTATTGGGTCAGTTCTGGTTCACAGAGACCCTGTATAGGATTTCCAAGGTTTTATGACTTCAAGGGAGCAGAAAACCTCATATTTCTCCCATGAAGTGGCTGGCAGGCTTAATCATAAACCTTGTGGTTCGAAGCCCAGTTCTTATTGTATGGAGCCACTGTGCTTCCCAAGGTTGTTGTTGTTGTTAAGTGCCATCAAGTTAGTTCTTGACTCATAGTGACCTTGTATAGGGTTTTCAGTGAGTGGCTGGCAAGCTTGAACCACTGACCTTATGATTCAAACTGACCTTAGAGTTCAGTGCATTAACCCACAGTGCCACACCATGACTCCTCAAGGTTCTGGTAGTGGTCCCCAAAGCAATGGGATCCGATTAGTGTTCTAGGGATGTTTGCCACTCCCCCTTCATGATTTTGACTACCTGTGATGTTTGGTGGCATCTATGTTCCCTTTGTTTCTTCTACCACCACTACCACCACCACCACCACCATGAAAGAAGAGCAGGGAATGGAGTATGACTTTTGGACTCAGTGATCTGAGAACCTCCTTAACCCAGGGAAGACACAAGGAATGTAAGATGTTGAAAGGAGACAAAGACCTTCTCAGAGGTGATAGAAAGCCTTCCCCTAGAGTTAGAACCCTGGATTAGAACTTCTGCATTTTAACTACGAGAGAATAAGTTTCTCTTTGTTAAAGACATCCACTTGTGGTATTACTGTCACAACACTAGATAATTTAAGATACTTCCCTAGCCAGGATGTGGTCTCTTCTTCCATGTATGTGAATCTTTGCCATTTTCAGTAAAATTGATATAATTTAAAAATACTAACCTGTAAAACTCTTGTTAGAGTTATTTTAGGATATTTTAAAGGCATTTTATTATTGTACATATGGTGAATTTTAAAAATGGTATTTTCTAGCTGATTAATACAAACTTTAAATGTATTGTCTATGAGAATAACCACATGAGAGATCAAGAGTTAAATTTGAGTTTCAAATAAACAACAAAATATTCTTTACTGTGATCCATGTGATATTTGGGATGTTCTTACACTAAAAACGATTTGCTGTTTAGCGGAAATTCATATTTTATTGGATGTCCTTCCTGTATTTTATCTAGTAGACCCTAATAGGAGCTACAAACAGATAATTCCCTAGGCAGTGACCAGGAAGCAGGGCTTCAAATTGGTCCATTCCTGCTGAGAATTTGCATTTCCCCAGGTAATTATGGTGCTTTGCAATGTAAACAGTACTTGGACGCTGGGAAGAAATGGCAGTCAAGCGAAAGGTAAGGTGTGGAAATGATTCAGGTCACTCTTGCTGCAGTTGGGAGGCAGTTAATGCCCATGTGGCTGGCAGCCAGTTCTTACCTGAGAAAGAGGAGCCTAACTTACAAGCCTTTTAGGAGAGCACAGGGACAGTAGTTGGGACTTTGAAGGTTTTCATCAGAAAATTGTGGGCGGAAACTTGCAAGGGTTTTCTCTGAGTGTCTTGAGGCTTCTCAGAGTCAGATGCAAAATGAGTGGGCGTCTCTATAAGTAACAGAAAAAGAAAATGAGAGAGAGATTGAGAGAGAGAGGTGTTTCCCTTAGCTGTGGAAACTCTATAAAGAGAGCCAGAGAGTGCTCTCTGCCCAGCTTTTGAGCAGTTAGAGACAGGAGTCCCCTTTTCTGCCTCTTCAGCCTACACTGGATTGAGAAGTAAAATTCTTTGCCTAGAGGTTGGCTTCAGTTCCTGGCTGCCATGGGTCAGCCCTTGAATTACCCATATCCCCAAATCTACTGGGTGGACAGCACTGCCAGCTCTTCGTGGGCCCCTCCAGCTGCTGTTGTCCCCTGCTCATCCTCCATGTCTGGAAGGCCTGATCCAAGGATTCCACCCCCACTCCCACCACCACTGCCAGCCCTACCACCTCAGCCACCACCACCATTGCCTCCATTCCCACCATCACTTCTGAAGAAGAGAAGAAGCCACAACACAGGGCTATGTCTCCTTATGATGTTTTTCATGGTGCTGGTGGCCCTGGTTGGATTGGGGCTGGGCATGTTCCAGCTCTTCCACCTGCAGAAGGAGCTGGCTGAGCTCAGAGAGGTAAGCCTGGCCTGTGGGCAGCTGTGCACTGGGGTCACTTAGACAACTCTAGAGCAGTAGGGGGAGGAGGGGCACTATGCCCCACCATCGTCTTGTTTATAAAGTGCTTTTCAATCCTTCCTTTTTCTCTTTGAAATGGGTTATTCTAGTCATTCCATTCTACAGACAGGTAAATGGAGGCCCGAATGTGTGAAGAGATTTTGCACCCCCTCTGTGTTGTAGAGGACCATGGTCAAGATAGGTTTGGTATTTACAATCTTTCTCAGCTGGCAAACCAGCCTGCCTAGATAGGTACTATTTCATACCTAGTGGTTCAAAAAATAAAATAAACATTAAGTCTTGCTGAAAATTGAATTTATTTAAATTGCCAAGCCAAATCTCCTTGAAAATAATTTTAAAATATTGGTATTATTCTAAAATATAAAACTGAGTAATAGAGACACAGTTGCTTGCTCAAACGTTGAGTCAGGAGAGATTCTGAAGTATTTGGATTCTCTTTTTTGGGTTTGGTTTAGTTTATGATCCTGCCTTCTTTGCCTAAGGGCTTCATATTTATTACGCTTTTTTCTTTCTCTTTTGCCAGTCTACAAGCCCAAGGCACATAGAATCATTTCTGGAGAAGCAAATAGGTGAGTCCCTTTATGCATGTACATTGAATTCCTCAACACTAAACAGTGTTGGTGCGATGCCTTGAATTCCCTTCCATTCTAGCATATATGTATACTATGAGAAAGATCTTGGCTAATTTTAAACCTTTGGTCATTATGGTTCCTTCTACTGCTTTAAAATATGAAGTAAATTTAATTGTTCACAATTAGTGTAGCTGAGCACACAATTAAAATAACTTCCACTTGACTTTGGTTGGAGACACACACAACCCTCAACTTTATCCCCTGAGCTGCTATCTCCAGGCCTGTTCCTCAGGTCTCTGAATTCAGATGCTCATGGTGGTGATTGTTACCCCTAGGGAGAAAAGGAGGTGGAGGCAGAGATGATGTTTCTGGGAAGGATTTTCTCTTTTTGACTCTCCAAAAGAGATGGCTCAAGAGTCACCCTTATTTTTTAAAAAA